GTATAATATATATATATATATATATATATATATATAATCTGCAAGTGCACTTCTTTTTCACAACGGTGCTTTTGGTTTAACCTTGAATGTTTTTTCTACTTTTTTTATTTGTGCACTGCATGCATTTCATTTTAAATAAATAAGTTTGAGTTTAGTTATCTAGCCAGATAAATATACAAATAAAGCTGAGAACAAATAAAAATGCCACACACGCACCGCTCAGCTCTTTTTTCGAGTTGGCTAAAAGTCGGAGCATTATGCAACTCACTGAAGATCAGATTAGGCATTAATTCAGCATATTCATGTGAGGAAATAAAAAGAAAGAAAAACATCACAGAGGATCATTACTGAAGCCCAGCTTGCAGAACTTCTGCAGTCGCTGAATTTTATGGTTAGATTTCAATACTCTGTCCACACCCAAAATAAGTAAACGCAACACACAAGCTTTGTTGATTGTGATGGGAGTGTTCACTAGAGTCCAGACCCTAAACTGAACTGTGTTCTCATACAATCTAACTAATGTCACCCAGAGCTCTTTACTTCATATTTGAATGCTGCTTGCATGGTGGTTTGCTGTTATGATACTTATATGGCTTTTTGTCACTATTTACTTCCATGGTATGGGAAAGACCAGCCTTGGCATTCTTCTAGCTAACTTATTTTGTGTTTTAAAGGGAAAAAAATGGAATTATAATACTTAATTCAATGTACCTTTTCATGTGGTCTCACTAATTGGCTCTTACAGGTGTCATCTGCTGCATCTCTCAAAACATTGATGGCAAGATGGATGATGTATCGAGATGAATGTTTTCGAAATATTACCAGAGAACCGCCGATGACAGGTGAGTTGTTCAACATCTTTCCACAAGTAATGGCTGGAGTCGCAGTGACGTTCACAGTCACAGTCTTGTGTAAGTTCAGATGGGGTCTTTCATTGACCCTATTGACAGCCATGATGAAAGTGCACAGTGCTGTTAAGGGATGTATGTTGGAAAACACTGCTGGAGACCTCTGATTAGGGGTCATGTCACATACTGATCCTGTCCAGCCCAGCAAAGCCTAGGAGACTTTAACATTAATGGTTGTTTTCTAGGTCTTGTGTGCAACAGAACATTTGATAAGTATGCCTGCTGGCCGGATGCACTGCCCAATACTACAGTGAGTGTGGCCTGCCCCTGGTACTTGCCCTGGCACAAGGAAGGTAAGACTACTGGAAATATTATTTTTGGACTATTAAGATTTATTTACATTGTGAAATTTACTGCAATCACGGTTTAAATGAATGGTTCACCCCAAAAAAGGAAAATTTGCTGAAAATGCATTTGATTTAGGATCATATTACTTGCTTACCAATGGTTCCTCTGCAGTGAATGGGTGCCGTCAGAATGAGAGTCCAAACAGCTGAGAAAAACATCACAATAATCCACAAGTAATCCACACCACACCACTCCAGTCCATTAATTAACATCTTCTGAAGTGAAAAGATGTGTTTGTAAGAAAAAAAAAAAGTTAATCTGTGCTTATTTCTCTCCTGATTCAGATGAGATGACTTTTTCATTGGAGAAAGTAATATTATGGATAGAGGTTAAAATGTCTTAATGATGGATTTGTTTCTTACAAACATGTAGCTTTTCACTTCACAAGACATTAATTGATGGACTGGAGTGGTGTGGATTACTTGTGGATTATTGTGATGTTTTTAACAGCTGTTTGGACTCTCATTCTGACGGCACCCATTCACTGCAGAGGATCCATTGGTGAGCAAGTGATGTAATGCCCAATTTCTCCAAATCTGTTCTGATGAAGAAACAAACTCATTTGCATCTTGGATGGGCTGAGGGAGAGGGAATTCTTAGCAAATGTTCATTTTTGGTTGAACTATTCCTTTAAGATTTATTTACATTTACAAGCCAGTCTGGGCCATTTTCCATTAACAGTTTACTTTTTGTTTGTCAGGTTACAAAAACAAAATGAAACTTAAAACTTATTTACACTTGATTAAGCTTGAAATATGAGCAGTTTCAACAGTCAAAAGACTGTCTAGTACCCCTTCCTTCTAATTCAAAAGATTAACAATTGTTTGTGTTATTTAACAGTTATTTATGGCTCAACATTTAATTAATCACAATTATACACATTGCCTCCATTAATTCACATTGCATGTTTCATATTCTTTTCATTTTTGGGTGAAATATTAGCTGGGCATGTAATGACAGGTTGCACAATATTTATGAGTACGAGTAAATGCATGTCCATAATTGTGTGAAAAAAATTTACTATATGTGGCTGCACTTTAAATAATGCACTTATTTTAGCTTAGCTAATTTAACACCATATGCAGTATTCTCTAATGCACATATGACTCTCTCTTATGCACCCTGTGTGACCACTCAATCTGTGTATGTGTTTGTGTGTCAGTCCGACATGGGTTTGTGTATCTGGAGTGTGATGCAGACGGACAGTATAGCAAACAGAAGAACGCCAGTGAATGTGTATCACGTGACCCCGCACAAATCAACATGGTATGTGAGAAACACTGCAACTCTTTTGAGGCTAGATGAATAGGTGATTGTTATATTAAATATCTGTTAGCTCTTAAAGGCAGAGTGAGTGATTTCTGGTAGCCAATGTTGATATTTGAAATCACCAAAACAAACACGCCTCTACCTTTTTTTTTTTTTTTTTTTTTTTATCAAACATACTGCTGAAATTATTTATCAAAATAGAATTTAACCTGTAAGCTCCTAATATAACAGTACAATAAGTATACTGAAATATTAATAGAACTACAGTGTGTTCAATGGATTGTACTGTTGTTTACCTTCATACCAATTGTTCAGCTGACAAAAAATCTTTCCGGAGACTTTCAGTGGACAAAAACTCCATAAAACAAAGTTGTGAGTTTTAAATAAAGATGTGACCTCGGACCTTTATACAGTTCATGCCAATGTAAAGACTGTAAGTCTATCCCTCACAGCCTCGGTTTCATCCACCTTAAATTCAGTATGGCGTTCACCTGTGCATTTGTGTCATTGTCTGAGCAGATGATTTGTATGTCTATGTGCAGCAACACTACGGACGGGTCCTCAGTCAGTTCCGGACTATGTACACCATTGGATATTCCCTGTCTCTTGGTGCGCTGGTGCTGGCGTTGGGCATCCTGGTATCCTTTAGGTAACATTCAAGCCAACTGGGAATTTATTCCTGCTGCTTACATTTTAATTTGAAAACGTGTTTAGCATCAGTTTCTGGATCTTTGGTTGTGGCAGTGGTTAAGGTGTTGGGCTTCTTTGTGTGAACAATGTAATGCTTTTTTATTTTTATTCATTGCACTCTGATCCCCACAGGAAGCTGCACTGCATGAGAAACAACATCCACATGAACTTGTTTGCCTCTTTCATCCTGCGAGCCTCTTCTATTCTCATCAAAGATGCCATGTTGGAAAGGCCTGATGACTTCCATGTTGGTCAAGACATCACCACTGAACTGGAGGTGGAGTGGCTGGTTAAAAACGAGGTGTAATAGCCTGCTGTCTTTCTTTGTTATTGTTGTTATTAAAAGATGATAATATACTGTACTAACATTCAAAAGTTTGGGGGCAGTAAGATGTTAAATGTTCACCAAGACTGCATTTATTTTAAATAGTAAAAATTGTAATATCGTGAAGTGTTCTTACAATTTAAAATAACTGTTTTCCATTTGAATATGTTAAAATGTATTCTATTTAATTTATTTATATGATGCAAAGCTGAATTTTCAGCATCATTACTCCAGTCTTCAGTGCCACATGATCCTAAATCATTCTGATATGCTGATTTGCTGCTCAAGACACATTTCTTATCAATGTTAAAACAGTTGCTGCTTAATATTTTTGTGGAAACTGTTAAATTTTTTTCAGGATTCGTTGATGAATAGAAAGTTCAGAAGAACAGCATTTATTGGAGATAGAAAATGTCCCTTTTTTATTGTCTTTTCATTAATTTAATGCATTATCGCTGAAGGAAAGTATAAATTTCTTTTTGAAAATAATCTTGCAAACCCCAAACTTTTGAAATGTGTTGTGTATCTAGATTCATACACATTTTTAATAATCCTATACCTATGTAATTATTTTCAAAAGAATATTCTGGGTTATTTACAATTGAATGTCTATGGGCAGCATGTTGTGTGAATTCTTCAATTAAGGGATTTTTCTGTTCCTGTTGGATGTGTTTTCAATAAGAAAAAAAGCATCATTCTACTTTTAAAGGTTAGATTTAATGTAATTTGTAAGAATCAGTGTCCGAATATTTATTGCTAATATATTAACAACTTTTGGCATTTACAACTTTTGTTCATGTTAAAAAATTAATTAGTATATATAAAAATTGTTAGTTTATGAGAACTATTTTGGTAACTAATTCATAATAATTAGCATATTCTGTACATTTATGACCAGATTCATTAAATAGGGCAAATTAGCGTGAGAGCACAATCCCATAATAGTTTTCGGATGATCTACTGACAATGCTTAGATTAATGACCATAGACACATCCAGATCAAATTAGCATCTGACACAGACATGTCAAGCACAACATGGGTTAAGACATGCATTCCTGGGTGTTAAATTATGCAAAACCAGTAAATTGACTACCACAAAACTCAGTATATGACATTGCATGATTGATTTAAATTCTCTCCTCCCATAAATTTAGTATCTTTTACAAATGCATATACAATAAGTTCAGCTGCAAAAATAACTGTCCACGCTTTTTTCATTTCTAATGTTTTACTGTCTTTAGTAAATCCTAGCAGTAGTTTTTTTTAAAGCCAAAAGAAGGTGTGCGTTTGCAAACATTACAAACATTTTACTGGAGTTTTCATGAGTCATTTAATTAAAAAAATAAAAATACTTTTCCTTTCTGCTTTTAAGCTCTTTCTATGCTAATATGCTGTACATAAACCTTACAGTGTATTGTAAATGACCAGGAATATTCTTTGAAATGCATGTTAATATAGATGTGGGTTAAATACCTATTTACTGTGCAAATCTGAATGGAGACGGCAGGTTAAAATTTAGCCGAAAGCTTTCAGTGACCCAAAAACTCTGCGTTTCAGACGGCGGTCGGCTGCAGAGTTGCAATGGTGATGATGCAGTACAGCATACTAGCTAACAACTACTGGCTGCTGGTGGAGGGCATCTACCTGCACAGCCTTCTGGTCGTGACAGTCTTGACAGAGAGGAATTACTTCGGCATCTACCAGTGTATTGGCTGGGGTGAGAGGTTCAGAGCTTTTACGCAGTGAACTCATTAGCAGGGTTTAAGAGCTTCCTCATACATAGCGTGTCCAAACAGAGCGCGGCAGATGGTTTATGCCTCGTATCACAAGGACTCTCTCTTTCTCCCTCAGGTGCCCCTCTGATATTCGTGTTGCCATGGGTGATCGTGAAGTACTTGTATGAGAATGAAGAGTAAGTTCTAGAGCCATGTGGGATGAGTGTGTTTGCGACTGATGAAAGCCAGTGCTTGTGTGTTTTTTGCAGTTGTAGAGTTGGCCGACATCAGTACTCTGTCACTGTAGCGTTTGTTTTATAACAAGTCAAATACATAAATTATGAACACATGCTGCCCAGATACTATGTCAAATGCTGTGATGCTACACAGATTTTCAGCTTCTCTATGATAAATGACTATTTAGCATTTTATGTACCTGCAGCATCCACTCCAGTCTTACAAGTCTTGCTTGTAACAGCCAACGTATCACATTGACCTTGACCAGTGAGTTACACAGTGCATTGTAAAATCTCATAAATCTTACAATCATTCACTGTTATTGTTGGAAGGGTTTTCAAGATGTAAATTTATTTTAATGACCCTTTGTGGGTGCTGAGTTGACGTATTTAATAGTATCTATTTCATCCATATTCATCCAATCCAGTACATAATTCCCATAAGTTAGTCTGCTAAACATCAGATGTATTGTAAGTAGCACTCTAGTATTAAATCCTGTTGGTCCCTGTTGTACACGGAAGCAGCTCCGGGAGGATGACGTATGAGGTCAGCGTTGCGCATGCGCCGGTGCGTCTCGTGAAAACCAACGTTTGTTTACAGGATCAAAGGAAGCTAAATTTCCTTACTTTAGCAAAGGAAACCCAGTCTCCTCTTGGCTTATATCGAAATCCTCTTGACATTCTTCTTTACAAATCCTCGTTTTGTACTTCTAATTAGTGACCGTTGTTTTGCTTTGATCTCTCCCCTGTGCTTCTGCGTTCGTCACTTCGCAGTGTGACCTCATACATCATCCGCCCGGAGCTGCTTCTGTGTACAACTGTTGGCGCAAGCTAGATTAAAGTGATTATTACGTTTTGAATATGAATATTTTTCTTACAAAAATGCATCGATTCGCTACAGGAGGACTTTGTTCAACCCCCGGAGCCGTGTGTGACACTTTGTTTTATGGATGGGCGCTTTTTATGTAATTTCTTTTGGACTGAAGCACTGCAACACCCGCTGACTGCAACGATAGAGCTTGGAATAGCCAGGACAATTTTTAATATAACTCTGGATTCGTCTGAAAGAAGAAAGTCATATACACCTAGGATGCCTCGGGGGAGAGTAAAGCACAGCCTAAATTTCATTTTTGGGTGAACTAACCCTTTAAATGTAAAATGTATTTTCCATATGGTAATAGTTAAACATTACATTTTCTATATATTTTCTGTTAGAGCTGGATGATAAAGCTAAAAATAATATTTTGATATTTTTCTGCTTCAACCATCCTTTCGGTCAAATAGCCATATTTTTGCCTGCATATATGTGTACTAACATATTTTAAAACATAAAAAGTCACATTGGCACAACATTTATTATGTGATGAAGCAACTCAATCAATTGAATTCAATCAACTGAATCAATTCAATTAAATCTATTTACTGATTCATGGAAATGAATTGAACTTCTGATGTTGTGAAATGTCTCTCCTTAATGAGGGACACTCTCATGAAAACATTTTAGTCTTGTGAGTCACAAAACTAGTATAATAACAGTCTTTAGGACTTAATGGACAAATAAAAAAAGATTAACAAGATTGCAAATATTGTAATTAATAATAATTGCTTATTTTTTAGCATCAGCCAAGTGACTGTAAATATATTAAGAGTGTTCAGTATAAATCGTCTGTGAAAATGGAGTATGTTTAATTTTATTGAATGTGCACTTGTAGTGTGCTTCAGATCTTAAAAGTATATACTTTAGCCATATTTCAAAAACATGAGAAGTTATGAAATTGCATATAAAGATGTACTTAAGTCCTACTGAAGTGGGTCAAAAACACTCTAAAGTTGTCTAATTGTATAAAATATAACTTTAAGCTGTAATACATTTTTATTTAATTGCAATTAACATGTAGCTGAGTGTCCCAAAAACATGACATTCAATTCACCCTTAAAGTAATAGTTCACCCAAAAAATTCCAAAACTGTATGAGTTTCATTCTTCTGTTGTACACAAAATTTTGAAGAATGTTGGCAACCAAATAGCTGATGGTAGCCATTGACTTCCATAGTATTATTTTTTTTCAATGGCTACCGTCAGCTGTTTGGTTACCCACATTCTTGAAAATATCTTCTTCTGTGTTCAACAGAAGAAAGAAACTCATACAGGGTTGGAACAAATTAAAGGTGAGTAAATTATGAAAAAAAATACATTTTTGGGTAAACTATCCCTTTAAGTGTTTTATTTCCATAATAAATTCTGTTTTTATAAATAAGTGTACTTCTGTAGCCCAGCCCCTTTTTTTATAGCTCACCAGCAGGCACAGAGACTGACATAAATCATGTAGTTTGTATATCTGTGACTGCACTTTAATGTGTCATGGCCTGCTAGGGGTTGAGGACAGATTCATACTCTCCCGCACTCATCACCCCATCCATCCATCTGAACTTACCCGTCCTGAGCAGATAAAAGAATCACTCCTTCCTGTTGATAAATTGAGCATTATCCCCATTCAGGCAGCATGTCATCTGTCATGTGTCTGTGAGGCTATTTGTCGCTGGGTTTTTTCCACGCTATCACTCCAGATACTGAGATAATGCTGCATGTTCAGTGTGCAGGTTTTCTGTATGCATTGAAATACTACTGTGTAGTCAAAATGTGCAGTATGCAACAGAACGGCACACTGTAATGCACTTAATTTTACCTTCCATTTCAAGTGTGATTAATGAACCGCAATTAATATAGCCAGAATTTTAAACATCTAGTTCGTTGTGCATTATTTAATCGAACTGCAAGAAAAAATTTTATACACGAAATTGGAGTTTAAAAAATAATAAAATAAAATAAAAAAATCATAATAAGAAACATAAGATGTTCTTAATGATGTACTGAATTTAAACAAATATGCATTATGAAGTTGTGTGTCATGTGGCAACAAATTAGCATATTGTTTTGCATAATGTACTGTTTTTACAGTTTTTTTTATATTAGGCAGTATACACAGTGTATGTAGAGCATCAGTAAAAAAAAAAAGTAAGCTAGCATTCCTTTATTAACATTATTCTGAACAGTATTACAGTATTCTCTACTAGTATTCTCCTAATTCTTTTAAGTGATGTTGAATGTGCTGTGATTCTGGCTACATGGTATTTTACAGTGTCCTTGTTACATGTTACATCTCCTTACTATAGTAATAACAGTAAATTATGCATAATTGCAAGCAACTAACCCTAAACCAAACACTAATGAATAACCCTATAGTAAATACATGTTGTTAATTAATATTACTTAGAACTAAATTGTGCAATTGCACTGTAACAATGACATCTTAAATCTTAAACACATTTAGACTTTATTAACTCTGTAAAGCCTGAAATATGAAATCATTGTAAGAAAAAATTGATTTTTTTTCAGTTTATTGAACCTTTAGACAAAATATTGCAAATATCTGAAATAAAGTTTGCATATGTGATTTGTGTTAAGTAACATTTTATGCATCAGGTTTTTATGGCTCATATAGTATTATATAGAAAGAATATGGAGCTCAAACTTGAGGTTGAAAAACACCTCAATTTTATTCAGAGGCCAAAACTGAGCAAAAATATGCAATTTGCTACAGTTTTTGATATTTATATGGCCAAAAAGATAAATTCTGATAGCTTGTACTGTAAATCAATTAGATATTTATAACAGACTACTTAAATAAAATCAGTTGTCACTCTATACCTCACATAGATTCATATGTCTAAGATGAAATTTAAATGCTTCGTTTTATTATCACAGCTTTGTAGTTTTTATTGTTGAGGGCAAAAAAATGCAATGCAATACAATGATGATTGAGAGACATACAAGTTGCTTCAGTAAACGTTTGTCTGTATTGAGTATATTTAATGAACAAAAGTAGGCCATCTATTTGCTCATTTGCAGTGATGTATTTGATCTCTTGTTGTTGATCAGATGCTGGGTGCAGAATATTAACATGGAGTACTGGTGGATAATTCGTTCGCCAATCCTGCTGGCCGTGTTGGTGAGTGCGAGTCTCGTTTATGTACATATCTGCCCGAGTGTCCCATAGTCAGAGCACTGCTAATAACACTTTACCTCCACCCTTGAAGTCAACATGAATTCAAAATTGCTTTTTAGCCTTGATTATCTAGAATACTGGTGATTGGACAGGAAAGCAGAAGGAAAGAGGGGGAATGTTTCAGGCCCCACAAACACAATCAATCAATGCCCTATGAATCAAACAAGGCCATCATATATATATGAAAAAAAAATCATATTTTCATATTAGAATTTAACATAATCTGATTATGGTAAATTCTAATGTAGGCTCATCCTTCATATGTCTCCACAGTTGCAGCGACCCAGTGTTTAAATATAGAATTAAGTACTGAATAATATTAATTAACGACTTACTATAATATTTGGTTAGGTTCAAAATTAGTAAGAACATGCAACATGTAAAATAAGGACACTGTAAAATAACATGTTACCGAAATCTGTATTCAATAATTTCATGTAATATCAAAAATGTTTATTTTTAAAGTTATCCAAAACAACATGGTGGACATTTTGTGGCACTGTACAGCAAAATTAAAACCTGTTTTGATGGGTATGTGAATTGCTATACTTACAGTATAGAGAAATATGTCTAAACGGTAAGGTCCCATTCGTTAACACTTCACAATAAGATTCCATCAGTTAACATTAGTTAAAGCATAAATTAACATTATCTAATAATGAACAAAACATTTGTTACAGTATCTTTTTATATGTTAGTTACTAAAAATGCAGTTGTTCATTGTTAGTTCATGTTAGCTCAGGCCTTCCGCTCCTTGAGTTCTCTCCAGCGCTGGAAAGCTGATCCGATATTTACACGGGTCCTACTTCTTGCCTTATTGCCTTAAGCCTTCTTTTGTTTCCACAGACGTTTTCCTCTTTTGTTTTTTAATCCACCATCTCTATATTTCTGTCGCTCGGCTCGACTAATGTCCGTCCTGTCCACTGAACGCTCTCTCCTCCACATCATGAGTAGACACGCCCCTTATTGCTGATTGGCTACAAGTTTGTTTTGCTACTCGGCCCGAATCAGTTTTCTAAAGCGTTTTTGAAAAATCGCTTACCCCACCTTTAAATAATATTAACTGATCCAAATTCAGATTTGAATAATGTGTTAGTAAATGTTGAAATTAACAATACCTACGATTAATAAATGCTTTAGAAGTATTTTTCATTTCTAGTTCATGTTAACTTAACTAATGTTAACAAATCAAACCTAAAGTTTTACCAAAGATTCAATGTAATAAATCGGCATGCTTAGGCTATACTAAAAGAAATATAATTACACCACTAATGAAATTCGTTAATGCAATTTCCTGTTCTCTCATTCTAATTCAGCAACCTTGTGGCCATTTCAATTAAATTTCACATTCATGAAATGAATATTTTGGCCAACCTTTACACGCACACCATAGTAAGAATTTTGATAATACTGATATTGCTATGACCCAGACTTGACTGTATTTTTGCCATAATTGAAGGAATATGAAGAACACAGTAGGGTAAATGTTTTATGCTGTTTTATGCCCTGCAGTTTCCATCTTTGCTCATACCATCACACCCAATTGCCTTGCATTTGGCTAAGCATTAAGCAACATTCAAAATTGAAGTAATTTCCATTATGCACGAAGCACAGCTCCATATGATGTCGACTCTCAGTACATCAGGAAGCTGCCTATTACACAGAATATGTTTTAGGGTCTACAGCTATGATTTCAAAAAACTGCTTTCCCCCTCCTCCAGTGTCTTATTTCCACTTGATTGTGTTGAAAGGCACATTACTGTGCAAAATAGCCAGGCATTCATAATGCTCACATTGGCTGCGAGGTGCAGATGAGCATTTAGCGATGTGCAGTGATGTTTCTGCGTATCTGTCCACGTCTCAAGTGTTCCTGTAGTGGGCAGGAATTCCTATGTTTGAATTCTCCCAGGGCTGGACTGTATGAATGCTGTTCCCAGACTCCGCCAAGCATCGCCGACTTCCTTCCCCCATTCGCTTCTCACCGCCGCAGTCCCTCATCCGAGTCTTGAGTCATTTGTTGTGTTGTGAGGAAACTGTTGTGTCAGTTTTGTGACATAAAGGTCTTAACCAGGGCATTACGATTTTTTTTTCTCCATCCAGATTAACTTTTTCATCTTCATACACATCATCAAGATCCTCGTGTCCAAACTGAGGGCGCACCAAATGAGATATTCTGACTACAAGTTCCGGTGGGTGTCCTACAGTTAAAGGGTTAGTTAATGTCTGGCATCATTTATTCCAAGCCTGAGTTCCTTTTGCTTCATTGGAACGCAAAATAAGAAGTTTTGATGAAGCAAACTAAATGCACAATAAATTCCTGATAAAAGTAGCCCATACGACAGGTATTCTGAAGCCAAACAACAGCTTTAGATGAGGAACATATTGAAAGTTGTTAGTTTGTTATTTGCTGATAATCTCAAATTCACTTCATTTCAGAGCATTCAAACGTTTTGCATCACAATTGGTTATGAGAGACATGAAAACCAATGGCTTTTGACACCAATGATGTAATGCATTAATGCACACAATCCATCATACTTTAATAATTTGCATGCATTTGTGAAAGAGGTTTGAGACGTGCAGTAAAGTGGACAGATTTTCCTCATATGAAACCTAACTATAAATATACATACTTGTAGTTATTGTACTTTTAACTATAAGTGTAGAATAATATTATATCGAAACTACGAAAAAAGAATTAAAGTCATACAGGTTTGAAACAACATGAGGGTGAAAAAATTATGACAGTATTTTCATTTTTGGGTGAACTTTGAGCATTTGCAGAAAGCTGTGCATTTGTTTCCATATTAACTGCCTATCTTTGTATTTTTCTCCCAATTTTAGGCTTGCTAAGTCAACCCTCACCCTGATTCCGTTACTGGGAATCCATTCGGTCCTGTTTTCGTTTGTTACTGATGAGTCTACCTCACATGGTGCTCTATCCCTGCGCCTCACAAAGCTCTTCATCGACCTCTTCTTCAACTCCTTCCAGGTCAGGAAGTCTTAATACACCATCACATAAACAGGGTTGAGCAAAACTCCGAATTGTAGAATTGTTTTCCTTTCAATTAGTGAAGTTTTAGTGGAATGCTATAGGACAAGGAATCTACTGAATTATAGTTCAAATCAGTTCAACACAGTCACACAACAGAACAATTTCATTGGTCTAAACCATTTTCAGGAATTGAATTGGAATTTAAAGGCACTCTCAAGTGAATTCAGTTTTGAATAACTCTGACCCTCACTAATAGATGGATAACAAGCTCAAAATTGCTCAGAACAAGCTCAGGTATAATAACAAATTAAAAATTGTTATGTTCTCGATATGCCACAGAGAAATCACCTCACCTTGCCAAAATCTCCATAAAAGCCCCATATGCTGCAAATTAGCAATGCATTCAAATGTCCCTTGACTGGGCAGCAGCTTAGAAAAAAACAAATTGATATTCTGTAGCTTATTTTACAGTGTCAGGACTAATTGCTTTGAGAGAGCAGACATTACAAATTGGCTGACTCACCCTTTGACAAACTGGTAATGACACTCAAGTGGAGCGCAGCTGCAAAGTGTCGAATTTGTATCATCTGCCTGGAGGAATTGCCCTGATGAGACTTTTCACATGCGTAAAGATTCAGAGTAAGGGAGAGAGAGCGAGGCCATAAAGCTTGACTGTTATGTGTCCATCTGTAGACACTTCATCCTTATTGGCTTTTGAACATCTTACTGCAGATTGCACTAAATGAACTCATTCAAAGTGTCAGGTTTAGCTCATTCGCAAAATAGACTGATTATTACTTTTATAGATTTCTGAAAGCACTTTGTTTTTATTTATGTTTGACTATGAACCACCTCAAAACAGAGTTTAGCTGGGCTTTTTGCAGTTAAATCAACTTTTATCCAAAGGAACTTACAGGACAGTCATGACACTTGTGCTCCCTCGGAATCAAACCCACGAACTAGTCGAACAACAGAAATTGTAGGGCATTCATTGCTGAAAAAAACTGCTTGAATTACAGATCCAGACTGGTTAATGATGGTTAGTGCTTGTTTAAGTTAAACGTAGGGTCAGAGTTAGGACTATTTGATAGGAATATTACTTTATGATCAATAAAAGATGTTGACCAATGAACAAGACCTTGGTAAATCATGTTGTGTGGTCTGACCTTCTGGTGAAATTAGTTAACCACGGAAGTCTTGTTGGCAAAGCCAGTTAAAAAGCCTGGTTGAAAAACCAACATCTTGTTGGGACCAGCATCCAAAACACAACATAAACCAGCAATCAGCTATACTGTTGCGTTTCCCAAAAGCGTTGTTAGCCAAATCCATTGTTCCCGAAACCATAGTTCTACAAACATTCGCAAACAGCATCTCAAAGTTGTGTTGTTAGAACTGCAGCTCTCTTCAAACCTGTGGTTTGAAGCTTAGTTTGTTGTTAGCATGACATGGACTGAAATAGATCATGCTCTTGAGCAAAATAAACAGGATAACATGTATTACAATCTGTATCTGTCATTCCATAAATGTTGTTCTACAACTTTTAGTTTGTCAAGAGAACGAAAGCAGCATTTTGCATTGACGGTATTGAGGCAAGAGGGAACCTGTCACCGAATCATCTGTAAATTAAGCAAAACAATAGAGAACAAATATGGCAAAGTAGTCCTAAGATGCCATGGTCCTTATTTATGGCAATAATCTGGCATGAATTCCATCATAAACCGATTAATTAGCAGAAGTTATTACTCCATGACCTGCTTAACATTAATAACGACAGTCCTTTATTGTTGAACCAATGTGGTGAAACACTTGTGACTAGCTACTTCTTCAACAATACATTGTACTATGGTAGTTATGCAGTGAGTTTTGTCATTGTATGGGAAGCATATCCCTGGATATTTCAGCAGGTTGTGCACTTATACAACTTTTTTTTAGGTGTTTGTTAAATTAATTGTTTATTCATGCTCTGACATGTTTACAGGGGCTGCTGGTAGCCATCTTATATTGCTTTGTCAACAAGGAGGTAAGTTAGATTATCTTTTTTTTAATATACCCATCCTCACAAATCTGGCTCCATCTTTACAAGTCTGTTCGCTGACCGTTATGTGCATGTTCTTGATTTGTCAGGTTCAGTCTGAGATTCTGAAGAAATGGAGACGTTGGAAGCTTGGGAGGGACATTGAGGAGGAATACCGTCACACCTACAGCCAGTCCCTTCAGATGAAGAGTGGCAGCATCATGGTCCCTCCTTCCAACCTCTCGCGGCTGCCTGATATCGCTACCACTACCTCCCGGCTCGGCAGTCCAGAAGAGAAGCAGATGTTGGTGTCCAACAGCCAGAATGGTATGGGTACTGGATTGCCGTTCACCTCCACACCACAAGATAGTTCCACCTGCAGTTCGATAACAGAAGACATAGTCATGGTGGACAGGGGAAAGTGTTGTAGTGTTCACCAGGACAATGCCAAGAGCAACCTGTGAGCTTAAGGAGCTCCAGATGTCTCACAGAAGAATACTCTTAGCCCGACCACCCTCGCTTCTTCTGGCTAAGGGCCCTGAAGCCTGGGCCCTAGCTGGAGCGAGAGGAGTGTTTATGTGTGTTTGTGTTTGTGTGTGAGTTTGTGAGAGCACTGCCCTCTCTGATGGACACATGATGGACACCCGTTCATCACATTACATGGTGCTCGGTTGACACTGTCCCAGTCAGACAAGATCAGCATTGAGCAGAAGGTGGACATACAGTATGTTAAGAAAGATTTGCACAAATGTGCATGCTAACAAACTCAATGATGAAGAACAGAGTCTTACCTCTAGTCTTATATAGCTATCTGTGATGTTGATGATTTAGTAGAGAAAACCCACTGGGACTGCAGGGTCCAAGAGGAACCATCACAAGCAAACATCTACAACCAGCACCTCTGGATGACCGGAAGATTTAGTAAGAGATACACTGAACTGAACTTGTCAAAAACTTAACTAAACCGGGTAATGCATTGCAGAGTGCATGAGCTCTGTTTGAACCGAATGAACCCCACATGTCTCTGTAGAAAAGACCAACTTGGACCAGAATTTCCATGCAGGTTTATGCTAATGTGGTGCTGATGGATCAGCAAAGCCAAAAATGAGTAAAGCTGATTAGTCAAGAACATTTACTGATTAAGTAAGCGAAGAAGCCTTGCGGTGACCCCAGCACACCAGCATTTTTGTTCGCATATATTTTGGAATCAACTGACGCTTTTGGGTACATGTAACATGTACAGATGTTTGTGTGTAATTTAATTAAAACCATCTTTGTCTTTGTACAAAATGAATTGCCAAGCTACAGTATAGATGTAGACTGATCAAGTATTGACCGGTATTACCCGTGTGCCTTTTGCTGTAGGTCATAGACTCCAATATTAAAACAAAAACACAAAGATTCACCATGCAAAGTAAGTAAAGTACAAATCAGTCACCCAATCGTCAGAGGTGAAAGTTGCTTAAAGCAGATTCTGTATAGTGAACAGGGCATCAGGCACACATTAGATGAATGTGCTACTATTAATAATGACGATTTGCTCCTTCAAGGAAATATGCTTGGTATACTCAAGCATGCAAAATACAGCCACATGTGAAATGCTTCAAAGGGTCTGGGGTCATTGCCTTAATGGAGTAGCATGACAGATCTGATTCCCCTGTGTCAGTGGTCAGAAGAGATGACTGTCCACCAGACATGTTGATATGTTCAAGAGTCAGTATTAGTTAGCAACTGCTTCTTCTCTCGCATACTTCTCATCTCCTAATAGGCATTTGAATCCTTTGCCATAGAGTTTTGAAAGATGTTCGGGAAGTGTAGGAGGAACTGTGAGGACAAGAGCCAGAAAGCGAAGAGAAAATTTAGAACAAATTACAACCTTCGACATCGATCAAAATGGTTCCACACCATATCTGATATCTGTCATGCTCAATTCAAGACATGCTATAACAAAAATACGCAACCGAAACATTTTTACAGTTCTGTTTAGTGTCACTAATGACGTATAAATGACATACTTCACCTTTAATGACAATGAGCAGCTGATGCCCCATATTGTGGCATTTGTGTGCATTTATATTTTCTTTAGATCATCAAACATGTGATGATAATGACGATGATTAACGCAGATAACTATGTGGGGCAATTTGCACAATTCTAATTTATAATTGTTAAATATGTAGATATCTGTAAATGCCTGTTGAGATTTGTAATGACTTTGTTTTACGGTGTCTGTTATTTGTGCACATGGTGTGTATTCTCTGCTTGCTTTGGGGAGAGTGAGAGAAACACTTAGGTCCTGGTTTAGTGTTCAGTTAACTAAGAAGAGAAACTTCTGGCATTTTTGTTTTTTTTTGCAACACCCAAGACCAATTTTGCCTTTTGAGTGAAACCGGCTGAGATAATTCAATCCTTCTGTGGTGAAAGTGAGATAGTGGTGGCTAATTTGTAATAACTGCAGGTGAAAGACTTTTTAGCGTGCTAAGCGTCACAAAATCCAGTTCGACTTTTTTCAGAAAAGTGAAATACTTTATTGCCACAAGGGATCAAAGAACATGAACTTGTTTGTCTGAGGTTGTCTGCCAAAACAAAACATCCTGCTGAATATTTCAAACAGATTTTCCAAAATTGGCATCATGTAATGTTATCCAAGCATGAGAGTAATTGTGAAAGTTGATAAATCATGCATACATGGGTCTGCCTTCTATTTCCATTGTCTCTGTTTCTTGTAGCCAAACTGAAGTGATGCCAAATTCTTCAGTGAGGGAGGCAAAGCGTCTGTTATGCTCATCTCTCTGCATTCAAACTTCAGAACCTCTTGGAATATCTAGGAATGAACTTGCCCAGAGTATCCTTGGAGCCATGCTTTGGAAGCAGGAGAGATGGAAAGCGGAATCTGTGTTCCGTCACATGCATTTGACGAATTGAACCCATTATTTTTAAGTATCTGAATGGTAATGATGTCGCATCAAAGTATGATATGTTGAAACAGTCTATAGTTATTTTGATGTATATATAAGAATAGCTTACTCAAAAATGACAGTTTTGTCCTTCATTTACAGTGTTGTTTAATCTTATATTATTCTTGTGTCAACACAAAAGGATAGACCAAAAATTTAAGTCGTTGTGACAATCTTCCCTTTTGCTGTAGCTTTGAAACCTCATTTGCGATTTCCAAACAGTTAGTGTTGCATTCGGTCACGTGATGCATGAGAATCAATTATGTCAGTTAGGCATAAAAAAATTGGTTTGAACATTGGTTTGTTCCTCACACAAAGCTATTTTATGACTTCAGAAATCTTAGAATTCAGCTCACAAATTAGACGGACAATTGGTGCTTGGTCGTACATAATCTGCTTTTCTTGTATAGAAAAGAGCAGCTTTGACATTCCAATATCTCATTTGAAATGTCATGAAATGATTTGACAATGTTTCATTTTGAGTGAACTGTTCCTTTAAATTTAATTTGTTGGCAAAAATTCAAAAACATGCCACTATATCAAATAATTTTTCCGCGCAGTCCTTGCAAAAATGTCATAAAAGATCTTGTTTGCCTCTGAAATACTTTTTTCTTTGACTGCAGTGTATTTTTTTTTTCTTTTTAATTTATCACAGTGTTGGTGTTTCATAGTACACCTCAGCCACATTGCAAATGACTGATGCAAAATAATAAATCTGGAACACTCCCATTATATTCAAAGACAATGTCTACACTATAAACAAACAGTGTGGAAGCTTTGCTCGTTGTAATGGGTACATTCTAGTTTTTTGTTGTGCTTGCTATGTTGATGGGTTAATAGGACTGGTTGGCCAGAAATGGAGCCAGACATGACAGAGAAGGCCTGCCATGCTGTAGATTAAAATATGTGCTTGTGTAATGTTTTTTGATTCATTATGATATCAAGATGGTGAATAAATAAATTGAAGTAAAAAAAAATTGCATGGTTTGTCTTTCACTATTGATATGAATTTGTACAATGCCATTCAAACTTCACTGATGGTTAGTATAGGGGTGGACCTTCATGCTTTTTTCTAGTTTCTTTGTACAAATTCATACGAAATCATAATACCTTGTAAAATAGTTACATTTTCTCATGAGATCAGGTTGGTTTATACTGTGAATTTTGGCTTAAAGCCTTGACTAGATGTTTAAAACTGTTTGAAGGTTGGTTCAAAGGCTACATTAGCTTAATCTATACTTGTACTATATACTTTTGACATTTTGGCGAGTTAGTGGCTATAATTTGTATTAATTTGTGCATTTTTGTGCAATACGTTCCACTGATGGTTAGATTTATGGGTTGGAATTTTATGCTATTGTGAATCACATCATATATTCATCCGAAATCACATAAACCCTCGTAAAAAATACTTCTGTTCTCATGAGATTGGCTTGGTGAATTTTGGCTTAACAAGCCTTCCCTAGATGTTTAAAAATGTTTGAAGTTTAGTTCGAAGGTTACATACCTAAACTTAACAACTACCTTACTAACTATTAATAAATAGCTAATTAGGAGTTTATTGAGGCAAAATTCGTAGTTAATTGTGAGAATTGGACCTTAAAATAGTGTGACCATATGAGAACACTTTAGATTAGGGAACACTATTCACTATTAACTAGTTGCTCATTAGGATGCATATTACATATTAGCTGTTTATCAATACATTTAAAGGGCTGGTTCAGTGGTTTTTTTCTAAGCTTGATTGTGTTTATGAGGTGCGGTCTAACATGTGTTAATGCTTTGTTTTTTAAAAAACGCATTATTTTTCACATAATTTACCTTTATTCCACACCGCTCTGTCCCTTCTCTGAGAAATACCCTGATCATTTCCTGCCGTTTTCTCTTCCTCTTCTCTAAAGCAGTGCAGCATGGCCTCGCCCCCTTTGCTGTCTTTTCCCGAGGGCGGGGTTTATCTAGGTTTGTGATGTCACGAACCCGGGAAGTAACTCGTTGTAGTCCCTACGATTCGTTTTTGTAGGCATTAAACTGCCAGAATTTTAAAAGACGATATCTCCGTTTGCATTGAACTTTCAGCTTCGTAACTTTGCAGATATTGTTTATGCTCAAACAAGCAACATTAGACATTAACTAACATTTAAAAAAGTGAAATCGCAATGAACCACCCCTTTAAAGCACATATTAATGCATGACCATATTCTAGATCCCTTAACTCTGCCCAATACCTAAAAATAACGGCCATAACAACTACTTACTATCAATAAGCAGCAAATTAGAAGTTTGTTGAGGGAAAACTCTTAGTTAATATATATTAGTTATAGTTATAAAATCTAGTCCACCATGTTCTAATATTAGAATGATTTTCTAATCAGTTTATTTATATCAATCCTCTTTAAGGTTGTAGGCCAAGCTTATGTCCTGCCTTTAACTAAACAAATCTTTGTTTAAAGATTTGTTGATTTCCCCCGTTAAAGATTGTTGTGCAGGGGAAAGACAGTGTGGAAAAACAGATGTGTAGAGGTGTTGATGCTCTGGGGAACTACTGTTGTGCTTGTGTGAGACTGATGCTGGAATGAGACCTGATAAGGGCATTGTTATCACATGCTGCTTTAAATGCTAGCATGAATCATCATTTATCATATCACCACACTGGTCTGCCTCACAGTGTGATTTATGATTCACTTTTAGAGCCTAACAAGGCAAATGAAATGCCTGAAACACACAGTCATCTTGTGTGGTGTGGTTGGGCAGATCTTCTTTCATAACTGTCTAGTTAGTACTCTGCTGTGTTTTCAAACCACACTGTTTGTTTGCTTCTATCCTGGCAACTGCACTGCTACTGAAGAGTGCTGTAATCCAAATGAGGTGGTCAATTATCAACCCCTCCTGTCCACTGGGCCCTACATCATTTCCACACCATTCATCATGCACTACTAGTGTTTGTGGACAGATGGCACTTGGAACAGAATTGCTGTTGCTTATGTGAACTGTATGCTTATGAATGCTTCAGTACCACGTGTCGCAAATGTGTTCAAATATCATTACATTCATAACAGACTAATCACACCACCGTAAAAAAAAAATGAGGAAAGCATCTTGTGTGGTATGTAAGAACATTAATAGGGGTCATGACATGGCTTTTTAAGTATTTGAATATGTCCTTTTTGGTTTACTTCTGATTCTATTAAAGTTTTTTGGTAAAACTTTAGTTTGGGGACCAATTCTCACTATTAACTAGTTGCATATTAGCATGCATATTACTTGCATATCAGCTGTTTATTAGTACTTATGAAGTACATATTAATGCCTTATTCTGCATGAACATATTTTAAATCCCTTAATCCTACTCCATACATAAACGTAACATCTATCTGTAACGTGGCTGACGAGACGTGAGACGTGCGGATCCATGTGCAAGCTTTATTCACAGGCGTGGTCAGAAACAGGCATGGGTCAGACAACGGCAAACAGGAATATGGTGGACAAGACACAAGAATAATCCTAGGGCTAGCGAAGGTCAACGAACGGCGAACAGAATCAAAAGGGCGAGACTAAAGGGATAAATCCAGGAAACCAGGCAAGGATCAGAAACCGAGAAAACAGACAAGGCAAGACTAGGCTAAGGCGGCTGGGCTGGGAAACTAACGAGGGCTCTGTAAAGTAGCTATCACTGCTTGCGATAAGCGCATACAATACTCGGCAGTTAGAAAGGAGTGAGATTGAGTGTTAAATAGTGAGTGAGTGATATGAAACAGCTGTGTGCAATCAGTGCGGTGTGCAATCAGTGTAATGAATGATGGGATATGTAGTCCGGGGTGATATGCAACAGTGTGTAGTGCGAGAGTCAATGAAAATGGAAAGGGTGACCTCTGATGGCTAGCAGACGGAAGTTCATGGACCGGATACGTAACACTATCTTACTAATTAATTATTATTAATTATTAATAAGCATCACACTAGGAGTTTATTGAGGCAAAAGTTATAGTTAATAGTTAGTTAATAGTGAGAATTGGTCCCCAAACTAAAGTGTGATTTTATTTTTTTCTGTGCCAAAACATACTGTAGGATCATTTGAAAAAAATGTGTCTCTATCTACATGTTTGCAAAACTCCAAAAAAAACTTACCTATATATACAATTCACTGTAGTTACCCACTGAAATGAACACTAGTGTCATTAAAACTCCAACAACTTTTATTCCTTTATACGCAAATTATGATTACGGGTACAGATTATCAATTAACAAAGACTTATTTTTTTCTCATGGTTGCTTGCACAATACTGTTATGACCTCAAAACACTTTTATTATATTGCATGATTTGTCAGTTAAAACATTTAGACATTTGCATCACATATCCAGCTCCATATGCATGGCATTTCTAAAATAGTAAACTTGCTCAGTAGCTCACCTGGTACAGCATATCGCTGGGTATAAATTGTGAAACAATCAAGATAAAAGAGCTCAAGACTTGTAGAAGCAAGCTAAAATGCCATAGTTGCTTCAGCAAATGTGTTTTTATCTCACATTTTCTTTCTTTAACACCATTAGTTGGGTTTAGTGTAGGTGGTTCATTATTTTCGAACATGCAAGATCCTTTTAGCGCCACTTATCGGACATTTCATTCTTGAACTGCGGCAATACAAATAACAACCAACTTAATAAAACTCTTCCAGATTTGCATCAAATCTGATTCGGATAAACTAAGCATACTTTTGAATGTGTCACAAAATGTGCAAGAACCAACGTAATATAATTTGGAAGAAATGTTGCAACAGGCAAATGTTTTCAATGAGCCTGGGATGCAAAAAACACAATCACATATTTAGAAAATATTATTTTCCACTCCCATTCTCACCCTCAGTCAGAAATGCTCAGCTTTGGTGTTCTGTCTCCTTTTAGGACTTGTCAGTAAATACTGTTAACTTGTCAGTAAACACTTCCCACTGTTATGATTGACTAATGTCAATCAGCATACCAACAGGTCCTTGAATGGTTTACGTTTCCTCAATACACACATTATTTAACAATAATGTTAATGTCTTGCTCCAGCAAGAAGGCAAGAGTTCTGCACACTTGACGAAGACACGTTTACTTCCACTGGCTTTCCGTGACCATGGGTGGATTACAAAACTATTACAAAATTTCAAGGGACACAATTTAAAAGTGGATAAATTAACTTAAGGGGAAATTGTGATGTTCACACATTATGCATTTAAGTCATTTGTGCTGATTAATCTCCTTGAACCAGGCTTTGAACGCACACTTTGAGCTGTTGTTTACATCTGTACCTGCTGGTAAAAATAGCATAAATACGACCAGCCATGTCCCCCATCAAATAATACTGGAAATGGTAGCGTGAAGTGCAATTTCCGTCCCTTTATTTCTTTATTCTCATGACGTACAGACATAATTGTCAAAAATCATAATGACAATGATAGAGGGGCAATTTTGTATCTGCTATAAATATTGCTTATAATGGGACCATTGCTTCCTCTCAGGTTGTTATCAGTTCCATTAAAGCTTAATGGACTCATTCATGATGTGATTATGAAGCAAGCTCTTAAACTTCTTTCTCTGAGTTGAACTGACTTACTTTGACTCATGTTGATAAAGTAAGTGGGCTGAGTTTGTTCTGTTGTGTTGGTTTATCGTTAATTGTATATTGGCTCTGGAGAAATGTCAGTGATGGCTGTCAGTGTGAGGTAATACCGTAAGCAGTGTGTTGAATGCATTATTGTTCATTACCACAATTAGTTTGTATGATGACTGAATAACTAATTTATCATTGCAACTCATCAAGCGAGTATCATGAACAATAGGATAGGCCTGAGGTAAT